AGACGAGCGTCTTGGAGAGCACGCAAACCCAATTCAAAACGCCTGATGTGTTTGGGAAATGTGGGAGCATAAACAATTATGTCGTCTAAATAGATTCAAGCCATCGACCACTTGAAAGGCCTCAGAACCAGGTTCATTAATCGCCTAAATAAAGCAGGAGGGTGCGAGAGACCAAACGGCAGGCGGTTAAACTGTTGTAGGCCATCCGAAGCTATAAAAGCGGTCTTCTCAGCGTCATTCCGGTCTAGTTACACCTGCCAATAGCCAGAAAGACGATTCAGCGTAGTGGAAAAACGGGTACCATGCAGGTGATCAAGGGCATCGTCAAGACGAGGAAGTGGAAACACGTCAAGCTTGGCGACACTATTTAGCCATCAATAGTCAACACAGAAACGGATTTTGCCGTCATTTTTTCTCACAAGAACTACGGTGGACCACCACGGACTTGATAAGCGTGATATGATACAACGCCTAAGCATGTCATCCTCTTGCCTAGCGATTTGTGCGCGTTCAAAGGCAGAGACTCGACGCGGGTGATGCCGAACCAAAACTTCAGAGCCAGTGTCGATTCTGTGCTGCACCGAAGGAGTTTGGCTGAGCTCACTCGGTGACTTATCCACGCAGTGAAGAAGTTTTCGTATAACGGCTCCAATCACAGCTTTCTGAGACGCAGTCAAGTTGCGGCCGAACTTGAATTCATTCCTGTCTAAGGGCGATGCAGTTGGTGGCGAAGGTGCTACGGGCTGTACTACTGATACGACAGACGGTGCTTTAAGGTAGGTACAAGTACCGAGGACGTTGCCTGATGGCACGCACGAGATACTGTCGGAAAGGTTGAAGAGAAGCACTGCAAAAAATTTGCTGGAGCAGCGATGGAAGGCCAGCGACATTGCGAATTCACCTGCAGGCTGGGAACAAACAGTGCTTTCTGCAAGAATGTGCCTGCCACCAAATGATTTGTCGGGGCTGTAAACAGGAACGAACGCAGCAGACGACAAGGAGATTGTAACCGAGATCGCCATTATCACAAGATTGAAAAGCAGGGATGGTTTTCCAATTTCAGTTTGTTCACGTAGGTTCGTACTCAGGGCCGTATTCGTGCCCATTGTTGGAATGCCGACTTTCGAAGAAAATTTAATAATCAGACTTTTCATCCTGAAGAAGTTGTCAGCGAGCACGCAGTGCACTTTGTCAAATGTTCTGTAAATGACATGACTCAACAGGAAACACGACTGCCTAAATCAAGCGTTACTGCAGGTTTCAACACTTGCTCGAATCAGTGTCGAACCCGTAGATGTCTGTTCAATGGTACAATCAGTGCCGTTAAACTGCAAATTAATGCCAAACTCTGCACACCAATCACTGCCAAAGATTATTAGCACACACAGATTTGGAACAACAAGGAACCACTGTCTCACTGCCTTCTCAAGCGCACACACATTCAGGCAGACTTTGCCGAGATCGGGTCGAATGGCTCCGTCAGCTAAGACAATATGGGGTCTATCCAGCTGCTCAGGGCTCCCCGAAAATCTTCAAGACAACAAACTGATCATTAAAAAACTGAATGCAACCCCTGTGTCTACTAGTGATTCAACGTGCTGCGGCAGACCTCCAAGCTTCACCGGCAGAGTTGGCATCTTGGTGAAAGGGCCAAGTAAAACACGAAGGGCTTCAGCCATTATGCGGGGTCCTGCCCTCGATGACCCGCATTGTAGTTTCCTGAGGAAGACTGCATAGGAGGAGCTGAGTTTTTCAGCGATTCGGTCACCCGAGGGCAGTTCCGAGCAAAATGCCGAACATCGTGGCAGTGGTAACACCGGAGTACCGCTGTAGGATCATGGAGGCGAGTAGAAGCCAAAAGCTGGGTCCGGGATGGTGCGTCCATGTAGGGTGGCCACCGGTATGGATCCTCAGCTGCTTGCGAGCGTTCGTGTATCTCCCTCTCAAGAGCGACAGCTAAAGCTGATCGTACGTCAACTGGACGAGCGAGGCGGACGAAGCACTGCGCACTTCTTGTGTTGATGGCATCAACAAAGGCATTCGCAGCAATAAGGTTCATGGTTGCGGTAGGGCAACCCGACAAGGCCTTCCGGGACAAGCTGTCGACGTGAGCAGCGAGCTCTTAAAGGTCGCAGGGACCATGCCGGACGTGTTTGAGTTATGTGAGGTAGAGCTGGAGTAGATCACTGTCACCAAATCTGGTTTCCAGTATCGCCTCCAATGGGCTAAGCAGACTCTGTAGACGCGCCAACCGGGAAGGACCCCAGAAGCCTTCGTACACAGTGAAGCACAGAAGACCATGTGTGGGATCCATGACAAATGTCGTCTATGAGGTACCACTCTCTGCAAGAAGACGTTCATTTTTCAAACGGGACGATGTCTGTATCAGCGACTTGGCAGACACCATAACAATAATTGCCAAAAACGAAGCATCGAAATGGCACCCCATTGGAGCACGTGCAGGTGCACGCCGGAGCTCAGAGACTGCAAAATTATAGGTGGATACGCCAGCGTGTACGGTCGACTTATAGCCGAAGCTTTTGCGACGAAACTGAGGGGTGACACAAGTATGAGTGAACCATTCATAACACAAAGCAAAGAAGAGATTTACTATCTCTCATTTGCCTATGTACACTCTTGAGTGTATTTTCTCGACTAACAGGATTTAAACTTAGTGTCGTAACGAGCGGCATAAACGTTCACGTGAATTTCACCTCCTCCCCCCACTTTTTTATATTGCATTGAATAAATAAATAGTCGTCTGTTAGTCAGCACTCGCTCTGTCTGTTCTTTCTTTGTACTACTTCTAATCTAATTTGCACTGTTTTTACCTTTTACATTGACCTTTCTTTCACGACAATTTGATCAAGTTTGAGATTGTCGGCAGAGTCTACATTACAGCTGCATGTATCAAACAAATGTTCTGCTGACAGACACCTACGTATTCATTCAGACAGTTAATTGATTGATATCTGTGGTTCAACGTACCAATACTATCACAGCATTATGCGAAACGCCGTAGTGGAGGGCTCCGGAAATTTTTACCACCTGTATTTTATTAACGTGCACCTAAATATGAGCACACAAACCTACAGCATTTTCACCTCCATCGAAAATGCAGCCGCTGCAGCCGGTAACCGATACAGTGACTTACAGGTCAGCAGCCGAGTACCATGGCAACTAGGCCAACGCGGCAGGGCTCATCCAGACAGCTAATGCACGTTAAAAAGCTTTCAAGTTCCTGTTGCGGTCACATAAACTTCCAATTCAAACAACACAGGCAGAGCTCACATCCAGTAAGAAGAACAGTGCAGAGTGCAAGATTTCTCGATTCGTCATCCATCTGGCTGCTCACTCATAAGCAATATGTAGCTCGTCATTTACCTCTATTGAGAAACGGTACAATCGATTGATTTGATTGATTTGTAGGGTTTAACGTCCCAAAACCACCATATGATTATGAGAGACGCCGTAGTGGAGGGCTCCGAAAATTTTGACCACCTGGGGTTCTTTAACGTGCACCCAAATCTGAGCACACGGGCCTCGGCATTTCCGCCTCCATCGGAAATGCAGCCGCCGCAGCCGGGATTTGAACCCGCGACCTGCGGGTCAGCAGCCGAGTACCTTAGCCACTAGACCACCGCTGCGGGGCAGAAACGGTACGATCAACAGTGCAAGCCTTCAAAGGCAAAATTGTTCGTGTTAGTCCATGATCCTCCGGAGCCATCTACAAGCACGAATGAAACCTGCGAGTAACACGCTGACGAGAATTGAACATAGCACACGCTGTCTGTAGACCTACAGTCAGGTACTCTACAGTGCAACAACGTAACTGGCACAACGCTCTGCCAGTGAAGTGTTGGGAAGTGTGCACAGGAATGCTTTTTTGCTTGCAGAGACATTCATTTCAGATAGATATGGAAGCATAGTAGTGGTTATTTTGTTAACACCAATCCCGAGTTTGGCGTGCCTTGTTTTCGTGCATTCCTTAAACTACTTCATAATCAAAGACAGGCTTCATTGGGAAGACTTCTGCTATCTGTGGATACACGGATTAGCTATGTAGCTGGAACATAAGATGCGGATAAATAGTCGCTTTGTAGTAGTAAGTAACAAACCTTCAAAACACAGCAATTGATAACCCGAACAACTATCAGGATTGGAACACGTGCCTCGTTCTTCTTAACGAGCCACAACTGATATAAAGAACGGCTACTGTTCCAGATAAAACTCGCGGAACAGCTCTGATCCACATAATCTTTTCACCTGTTACGATTAGATTACGTTAGCTACTGTTTTAAGTGCAACTTATAAGGAATGAGGTTAACAGTGTCGAGATACAGAATTCAAATTTTTCTCAAGCATTACAACTCGCCACTTCCTCCTGCATTCAGTTGCGGTTGAACACGTGGAAGGATTTCTAAATATGATAGATCAGCGCAGATGCTGAAGCGGAAGTGGCCCGTTCTGGTGTGCCGCACAGCCGCTTTGCGTCGGAAGCACTGCATGCAAAAGCTATGCAGCACCATTAGCGTCAAAGAATGGTTGGTTGGGGGGCGCCACTTTTCAGCTGCGTGAGTGCTACAGAGCACGAACCTTAATTGTTGTGCCCAAAAAGTGAGCCAGGATCAGTGGATGAAGTTATTTCAACTGAAATATTCAGTTCACGCATTCGTCTCAAACATTTTCAATAGTTTATAGGGCAAGACCACTGTGGATTTTCCGAAAGTTTGTTATTATGAGATACACAAACGTGAAACAAACGCCCGCAAGCTTAGTAAGCCGGCATGACTTTCTGGCACTCATCTGCTGCCATTTGCTTTTTTTTCATAAAAATATTTGGGAATGAAGCTTTCGATGTTTATGAAGTGCTCAGATAAACCGGAGCAGCAGCCAGTTCCAAATTGGCCGGAGATAAATATAATTGCTGCCATGGTGGGTTCAGGTTCGCTGTGCGGCTAAATATGCTCATCCTATCTCTCCCAAATCGCTTTTCGCAGGAAAACGCAGCTGCCCCGGTGAAGCCTTGGCATCTGTAGAAGTATTCCTTGGTGTAACGTCACTTCTTCAAAGATTCCGTGTCCTACCAGTTGGCGAGGTCTCATTCGACATTAACTGCCCTTCCATAATTGCTAGTCACGTGCAGCACCTCAAGCTGCGATTCATAGACCGCGACCAAAACCTATAAATGATCAAAATCACCACGTTCCTTCACGACCATTTTGTGGGAAGTGCTAATGTAAAGTAGGTGTCACTGAACAATGCTGCAGCTTTACGAACAAATAAAGAAATGTGGAGAGATAATTGGAAATGAAAAGCAGTGTACCTGAAATTGTGACTTTTGGCTATCCTTTGTAATAACAAAATTGTATGCTAATGTGTTGTATTGTTGATATTGTAACAGAGATATTGCACTTTTGTATTATTTTTTGTATTATGTAAGAATGATAAATTGAGAAAGCTGCCATTTTCGCATTTCACAACATCAAATTTCAGCATCTTGACTTTGCAATGCGAAATACTTTTAAAACGCACTGTCAGCAACCTTTCCACTTGTATGTTATTTCCATTACGGCTTCACCAGCCATTGTTTTGAAGAGTTTTTTTTGTTATTCTCATTTATTCAAATCTAGAAAACAAAAACAACTCCAAAATAGTGTTATCAAAATATCCACAAGATGATGCACGTGGAAGAAGAAAACTTTATTTGTTCAACGTTGAAAGGGTGTGATGATGGAGGGCACTGAGAAAGCTTACCCAACATACCGAATTCAGCCAACAGGGCTCTATTGCCTTGTGGGCTGAATTCAGTATCTTGTCCTGGAAATCGGGCGCCGAGCTGCACACGCTGCAGCCACCCATTGCTGCTTACTATTTAAAGACTTTGCTGTGGATATACATGCCCACAGCATGACTGATATATGCAATTTGAGGCAGAAAAAAATTGTATGGGAAGGAGTGTATCGCACGGTGCATAGTATTTTTGCAAGAAAATATAGGGTCAAGAAAGTCGAGAGAGAAAGGAAGAGAGGCAAGACATTACTTTGGTTCTCGTGGAGGTCAATCAAGGCTGTAGCCGCGACAGTAGCGCCACAGGGGTCTGCTTCCTCAGGCGGTGTCCAATCTTTCAGTCTGAGGAATGTACGCGCGAACGCGGCCATCTGGGCGTACCTCTGCGTTATAAGAAAGAGTTACGCCGATATCATCACATATGAACCTACCTCTCTTTTTCCGTCTAAGCAGATGGTAGGAAGGAACGAACAGGAGGGGAAAAAAGAAGCAGGGAGCTAAACAAGTCTAGAAGAACTGGTATGTTGTAGCGCATTCAAGGGGGCTTATATATTGCAACGTATAGTTTTACGAGTCACCGCAGTGTCCCGTTGGAAAAGCATGGCATTACAGAAATCATAGATAACCGATCTTTGATGCAGATATGTGGTGGCTAGATTTCTCCGACGTCACCCGGTTCTGAAATATACAATCTGCAAAGTTTCGAGTCAAGTGCGCGAGGCAAAGCCAGCCTCGTGTGTACAGAAATAGCAAAGCCATGTGTTTCACGGGCTAACGACAGTTGGTGCGTCACGTTTTCACTTTAGTACACACCCTAATCTCCAGAAGGATGATAACCAGTTCAACTGCAGGGGAGTTCTACTGGTGCCTGGCTTCTCATCGCCCTTGACGCGGTAAAACCTACTTTTATCGTGTGCGCCTTCCGGCAGTGTCAGATTTCAACAATATTCAGAGGAACCCACTAGCGCACACGAACGTTGACACGTGAGTGCCCATAGTTAGACCCAGGTCTTGTGTAAGTATCACCTCTAAGGTTTTGCGAAAAATTGGCCCGAATCTAATGTTACACTGTAAATGTCATCAAAAGACGATAGTCTTGCGTTTGCAGATATTGAACAAAACGTTTATTTGATGTTCTGCGCAAGAAAATGGGTGAATGATATTCTGAAGGCGCTGCATTAGAGTGCCTCAAGCGTGTAGCGGAGCTAAACAAGCGCATCTAGGCACGTTAGAGACAAGCGTCATCTGGCAGTTATCTTCGAAAATGAAGGCGCGCGTGACCGCGGAGAAAGGTGTGCGCCAGTCTCGGAGGTGATAAGGTGTAGAATGCAAAGTGAGGGGCAGGTGCCACCACTGTGTCGTCGTAGCAAAGCGTTGGAAACACCTCCTTAAGCATCGCGTTGCACTGTCAGCGCCGCGCGATATACGATACAGTCCTACTTGCGTGTGCCTCTTCTAGTATAAAAGCAGACGTACAAAACATAGACGCGTTGATATGGCGCTTCAGATATGCGCAATGCTTGCTTTTTTAATTGACAATCGCACAACTATGAACGCTAAATCTTGAGCAATATTGGTGGTCCTGAGCAACATTGGTGGGCGCAGCGGATGAGGTCGGCTGTTCGGGGTATCGGCTGGTGCTCTTTGGGGTACCCAGCTCGTGGTAACAGTGGAGAGTAGACAGACAGACAGACAGACAGACAGACAGAATGACCTAAGTTTTCGCATTGAAGGTACCCAAGAAAGACTATCTTCTTTGAATGTCAGCAGTGCTCGTAAAGCGAGAGACGGTCACAGTGAAGGATGGCGGAAAGGCATTCCCAGACACCCTTTAAACTATCTCGGGGAGAGTGCGGCAAGTATACAGTTGCAACAAAGCGCCTACGCCATTAGTTATCTTATTTTTATAAGAAAGTAAACACACATCATCGCATTTTTATCCTTCGGTGGAGAGGTGAGTGCCCATTCGTTACCTCTAGGACAGTGGTCGCACTTGTTCGTTTTAGTGGTTGTTCTTATAAAAAAATATGTCTCAGCGCTTCCTAATTCGTACCTTTGTTGCGTTATTTGCATCGTGTTGTGATGATGCCGTTTTACTCTTCTACCATGCTATTGCACATCTCTTTGCTGAAATCTCTGCCTAGTACTAGACCTGAAAAGGTTAGTTCTGCGGAAGAATTTCAATCATGACCGTGACTTTATGGTAGAATACTTGAGTGTCACGCAATACGGCTTGAGCTTATTTCCTGCCCTACTACATGTTTTATTTCCGATGTAACAGTGGTTACGGACGCCGGTGGTGGCGTAGAAAAAACAGTGCCACCAAAAACGGGAATGAGGACGGTTTAACCCCGGCATTCTCAGTGGTAAATAGCATTTTGGCATTTCAGCAGAGAGCCCTGTTGGCGCTAGAATCACGGCTTTAAGCCGGAAAATAAAAGCTCAAATTACCCACTGGTGGGAACGGAAAACTTCTACAAAGAACCTGCATTGAGGACAAATGCAAACGTAGTCCCTTATACGGAAATTTCATCCAAACCAAAAGTCACTGTTTTGCGATACAGGCGAAACAATCCAAGCAATAGCAATAAATGAGAATGCCATACAAAGAATACCTATCAGCTATAGTTCTTGAGCAGTTATACAGTGAGCGAAGCGACCTTGGTGCCTTCCATTGGTCCCACGAAACTTTGCGGACAAAGTAAAGCACGTACAGCTATATCGGCGTGTGTACATGAATTCTCTTATTCTTTAAAGTGCACAATCTTTTCTGTGGTAAAGCTGTATAATCTTCAATACTTCTGCCTCCCTGATTCCTCTCCAACCATCAATAGCCCTGCTTCCCAGGAGCCCTTCACCCGTTTATTCAGCTTCTAAACAAAACGAAAAAGAAAGATATAAATATGCACATCGAAAAAAAAAGAAACCTCAAAAAAGCGAGAAAGCCAGAGATAGACAGAAATAGTAGATAAAAATGAGTGAACGAAGTGGATTAGAAGGTTAAAAAAGATTAGAACGGTAAACAAATCGAGACTTGAAGAAAGACACATACAAAAAAGAAAAACACTCGAACAACAACAAACACTACCGTGCCAACACTTCGTATGAATGGTTAGTTAGCGAAGTGGTAACGTATGACTTCAGGTGGTTGCAGATGTTGCAGCCGAAGTTGCTTTGAAACTCCCGCCGAAAGTGCTTCGGCCAGTGCCACGTCGTCGCGGTTGTGCCTGCACTGCCGCTCGTTTGGCTGGCCGATGTCGCTTACATTTATCTAGGAAGGCGGCCAGAACTTCGGTGCATAGTTTCTGCTTGCGCTTCTCCCCTGAGCCTGTCCTTGTGTCTGGGCTGCCTTGGCTTGGCGGAGATGACTTTTTTTCACGGATGAGCTTTTGGCAATGTTGTAGAAGCGTTGTCTCCTTTTCGGGCGTTGCATCGCAATCGCGGTGGACTGACACCATCTCAGTAATTGTTGGGTTGAGTCACTCGGTAAGACCGTTTCTCTATGGATAGTAGGCGGTAGTAAGGTGATAATTGGTAGAGCGGCTACGGAGGATTTCATTGTGAAGCTTCCCGAGAAAGCAGTGGCCACAATCCGTAAGGGGCTGGCGAGGAGCCGCATGTTGGACAATTACGCCATTCCTAATGAGGTTTGTGACGTCTGTAGCACCGCTAGTTGGCAAGGCGCGTTTATAGCGTATCTGGTCGCATAGTTATGCGACAGCAACTCATTTGTTGGCAAACACGGACGTAGGAAAGGATCCTAGCATGTTTAGGCCATCGCGGAAAAATGGTTTTGAGGAATGTCGATAGCTTAGAACATGCCAGCCGGACAGAAAGCAGGCCGGTTGCGATGCCGGCAGTGCTCACAAGCAGCGGGATAACGGTGCACTGATCTTTAGAGGCCAGACCAAAAGAACCACTCCCGCATGCGCTCATAGGTGCATGAAACGCCCAGCTCTACCGCTGTCGGAGCATTATGCAGATGTCGAAGAATTGTAACACGCAACTGTTGGGGAATAATTGAAAAAATCCGGGCCATCGAGATTCGTGCTGCAGCGATACAAATTGTGATACCGAAAGACATTTTAGTGAAGCCAAGGGTAGAGACGTCATGAAGATACCTCTCAATGACCGTTTTGAGGATTGCATTTCGACGCTGCTCTGCGCTGATGTCATGCAAATCACATATGTCGAGCGCACAAGAATCGCTATGATGAACAGTGAGGCTAACAGGGTCCAACGGATAACGAGAAAAATAATCGGCATCTTGGTGAAGCCTGCCAAACTTGTAAATTATATTGAAGTTATACTTCTGAAGACGTAGAACCCAGTGATCTAGACGACAAGTTTCGTCCTTGAGCGGAACAACCAACACAGAGCGTGGTGGTCCGTAATAAACGAGAACCCACGGCTGTACCTGTAGGGGCGAAATTTCGCTACAGCCCAGA